CTCATCCATGCAACCCTTGACCACTTATCACATTCTTGGAATGTCCCCCCTCCTCCAAAATTATAGGCCACTCATCCTTTAATGTGATTTAAGGTCCTGATTGCCAAAGTATCTGAGCACTTCAGACAACCACTATAAAGCCCAGAAGTCCTGTTACCCCCACTGTGCATAGGGGAACTGAGAGGCTAAGTGACTTGCCCAAGGTCACACGGGAGGCAGAAGAACCCTGGAGAAAACTACCAATCTTTAGAGTGTCACTCTGTGGTACAGTGTCTGGGTTTTACTTTGAAACTGGCCAACATGCAGAGGAAGCAGGCACATGGCTCTCTGCAACCTCACCCCCAGAGATGGTTTATATTTGGCAGGGATTTATTTTTTCTAGCTATGTGAAAATAAAAGTTGAAGCTCTGTTTCAATATGTTCCCCTTTCCTCTCCCTTTCACCATTAGAAAAGGCAATGGAAGTCAATTGCTTTTTAAGTCCTACTGGTGCTTTTATCCATTCTCACTAGCAACTGTTTCAAGGCAGGCTGTGGAATCAAAGTGAGTTCAGCTGGGTGGCAGCAAACGACCCAGGCAGGTTAATTGGAATCACCTATGGTGAAGCTCTCACGCCCAAACTTTGCCGTCCCCAAGGGATTTCTATTCTCTTATTGGTCAGAGAAGTGGAAGCCTTCTTTTCATTGGCTCCCTCTGAACTGTCAGTCCTGAGTGTTTCACCCCCTACACTTAAAGCACGACATCACCAAATGTGTATAAAATCCTGCCAGATGGTAAGGAGAGTAAGGTAGTGTCTGGATTACTGAGAAAGGTTAGTGGGGTGTTGTGGGACTCGTTGGTAACAGGGCTTTTTGTTTCTATAATTCCCTTGCTAGAGCTGTGTAGTCATGCTGCTAAGAAAGTTTGGATGTGGGGCTGTGTTTATATTATTAAGATGCTGCAAGCAGAATGTGGTTTGGATAGCAGAGTCTGGGATGCTTAATAATGTTTGCTGACTCTAAGCCCCTGCTTTGGTGAAGGACAGTATCAGATCAAGTTTCATTTTCATACCAGTAAGTGCCAATTACTAGATGTAGTAGTAATTATGTACTTGCTGCCTTCCATGGGCTTAGTAAAGTAGAACATTTTCTATGGCTCAGTGATGTGAGACAGAATTCTCCTGCTTTCTCCTTATCTTTAGCAGAACTGAAATGCTTTTAAGAAGCAGTGACAGTGTATGTACTAAAGAGCAAATATTTCTCTAAAGAGGGGCTCCTTGTTAATCTGTAGGTGGGATGGCCATTTTGTTGTCACTTCATGGAGCAGAACAACCTTCTTGTCTCTGAGTGCTGTAACTCCAGGGATAGTTATGGCTTGTAATGTAGCCTCTCTTTGCCTTGTCTTAGGCCTATCTGACTAGACCATGACTTCTAATGGAAAAGACACCAATATGTCTGCTCCAGAGCACAGGGAGGAGGAGCAACAGGTGGGTATTTCCTCTTAAGCCTCACTGTTCTGTCTGCATGTTGAGCCATACAGTTGGCTGTTGATTAATAGCAGGCTCCACACGTGGAGACCTTGGTGGATGTTTTGTTTTGTTTCGTTTTGACTTTTGACCTAGTGTCATCACTCCAATGTCAGAAGCAGTTCTTTAGCCCTCCTGCTCTACAGCCTTTCACACCATTATATAATCTTTTGATGGGAGGGGCAGACATAGTCAAGGGTATAACCACTTGACCAAGCAATGGGTCAGCTCCAGGACTGGCCCTTGCTTCCCTGACTGCATTGTTCTCCCCCTTGCCTCACTAGAATGTCCTGAAGAGGGTGGCCAATCTCCCTGTGGTCAGCACTGCCTGTGACCTGGCTGCCACGGCCTACACCTCCACCAAGGAGAGCCATCCCTATGTGAAGTCTCTCTGTGACATGGCAGAGAAGGGAGTGACCTCCCTAACCAGTGTTGCAGCCAGCACTGAACCATCAGCTCCACCTGCACTTGAACCTCAGGGTGAGTAAAGTCTGTAACTGTCTGAAGCAGAACTTTCTATGTATGTGTGTATGACACAATCTCTTGACGGTAGGATCTCAAGATCAAAAGACCGGCAGCACTAGAGGCAGGTAGCAGTGGGGCTAATGTGACTGTAGGAATGATTGAGCAGCCCTGAGATACTAGAAGCAGGTGTTTCTAACGACTAGTACGGCACATGCAGCCATATCCACTACTGCCGGGTGGTGAAGATTCATGTTCAGCAATTGCTCAATGGGAACACAAATGACCATCCTTACTCATTCCCTTCATGAGATCACTTCATTGAACCTTTTGCAACCAAGGTGTTTTAACCTCTGGGTGCCTGCCAGAGGGCTGAGTTGGAGATCAGTTAGTGCTTTACTATGGAGTGAGACCTCTACACTCAATCTTACAGCTTTGGAGACTATGTCCAGGATGAGCATCTCTGCACTGGGGAGACGGGAAAATCCCCTTGTAAACTGAGATGCCTTACACCAGGAAATCTCTTAGCCTGGGGCAGGGGGAGGCAATCACTGCACTGGGAAGATGGGGAAATCCCCTGGTAAACTGAGATTAGTTGCAAGTGTCAATGTGCAGCTTCTTCATCCCTAACTCTTGCTGCCTTGTGATGTGAGCCAGATTCTGCTTTGCAGTAGCAAAACTGACCGTTAAGGACACTACGTCCTGGTGTCTCTTCCTACAGAAGCAACAGGAACGGAGTCGGCTTCTGAAGTACCAGACAAAGTGGAGGAGAATCTACCAACCCTTCAAGAGACGGCTGAGAAGGTAACTCACCCCACACAGTGACATGGCCAGGGCTTAGACAAGCAATACTGCTCTGCTTCCTCCAGCAAAAGGCTGTGCCACCGCTTTCAGCATTCCACTTTGAGCATTAGGTGGTATCTAGTCCGATGTAGGGTGAACCGATGCCCTTTTTAAAAATGGGACTGTCCTGTCTTTGGTCTTCCTATCTCTCCCTGCATCAATACTGGTGGGATCCTGCCAGAAAGAAAATCCTATTCCTCAGTTGCCTGTGTGCCAGGTCTGGGCGGGGGCAGGGCATGAATCCAGTAGCTTTTGCATACCACAGAAACCTGATAAGGTTGTTGGCAGGGCAAAGCTGTAGCAGGTGAAGCCAGGCTGCTTGTCCATCAGCCGAGCCCGTGCTGTGCCATCTCTTAGAGGCAGGGCCCTGCCATCCCATTTGACTTCTGGCTGAGCACTGCAAGGTGCAGCCTCTGGTGGAAGAGGGCAGGCAGCACTTAGCTGTGTGACTCTGCTGCTCCACAGTTGGCCCTTTACATGCTTCCCCTTGTTGCTATCCTCCCGGTTGTGCCCCTTCTTCCCCAGTGCTGAGGCTGGGCAGAGAGCCAGCCCCTGGTCTGAGTGCTCAGCTTGCAAGTATGGTTGGCAGGTTCTTTCCTTGTTCCAGGGCCTTCCTGGAAAACCCTCTAGTTCAGAGTCCTGGCCAGGAGGAGCCAAGCCTTGTGGGCATCACTCTCACTGCACTCCCATAGGGAAGCTTTTGTCCATCAGCCAAGCTGTAGAGTGGCAGGAGGAAGTGATTTCCAGTCTGGTCATGACCCCAACCCCAGAGGTGCCACACGGCTCTAGATGAGGCGCAGCATCCTCTTCACCCACCTCCCCACACCCTGGGTCCTGTCCCAAGGGAGTGTGGGACTGTTGCATCCTCTAGGTACTTGCCACTGCTGAGCCTCTCTGGCCAGGTTTGCTGAAACCTCTGCAGTCAGGCTTTCTCGGCTCTGGTGCTCAACACCTCAGGGCTTAACCCCCTCCTGCCTGTGGACGAAAGGCAGCTGGGTGAGGCTAGCAGCAATCTGGTGTAGTTGCCACTGACTCTTCAGTACAGTGCAAGCAAGAAGACAAGCTGCTTTGAGCTACAGCGGAGGGTGGGGAGAGGTTGAGTTCTGCCAGGATGCAGGCTAGGTCACCCCTTCCCTCCTCCCCAGGAGCTGAATCTCCAGGCCCTTCCCATCCTGGAAGGTGGCAGCTGGTCACACTGGAGTGAATACTGAAGGATATCCTGGGGGAGGGGCCACAACCCTGTGCCCACCATGTATTGGCTTGGGAAGAAAAAGCAGCATGTCTTGGGACCAACCCATTCCTCTCTAGAGGCCAAGCCAGGAATGGAGGGTGGAGATGGCTGGGCAGGGAAGGTCTCCTCATGTCACCACCCACCATACCATGTGACAGATGCATGGGAGATTCACCTCTCCCTGTGTGAATCATCAAGATAAGGGTTAAAAAAATCCAAACGCCCTTTTTAAACATGGACTCTGTAAACTGCATGTTTGACATCTGCACCTAATGGGGTCTCATAATTCACTTGAATGAATAATCATAATTTTACCAGGTATCCATATGTCTGATTTATGGAGCTGAGCAGATGGTAATCCACTGCTTGGACTTCAATCCCTCGATCCATATGGGTTTTTGTTGCTCTGATCATACCTTGCTGGATCTTTCCCTCTAGGCCATGTCTGACACACTGACAGATGTCAAGGAGAGCATGACCAGAGTGGTGGACATGACCAAGGAGGCCATGCAGGATGGTATGAAGACCACCAGATCAGTGGTGGCAGAGGGCATGAGCACCGTTGGGGAGTCGAGAATGGGCCAACTGGCCATAAGTGGGATGGAAGCCATGCTAGAGAAATCTGAAGCGCTCTTGGATCACTATCTTCCCATGACTGAGGATGAACTAGGTCAGAGCACAGGAATGATGGGGGCAAATTTCTTTGAAAAACCAGGGTAACCCTTCCTCTGGTCCAACCTCCTCTAGGCGTCTCAGTCTTGTCCTACAGCAACTTCATAATGTAATGCACATGCCTCAGCTTTGTCAGTGGGCATGTACCCAGTTGAAATGACTTGAGCAACAGTAGGGACAAGGTGGTCCTGGAAGGGAACCATGAGCATGAGACAGTTGGGGGAAGAATAGACCTTATCCAAATACTCAAAACCAGGCTTGGTGGTCTCTAGTGGAGCTAGTAATAGAGATGTAGCAGTATTAGTCTAGTCTTGCTGAAACAAGACAGGACTATGCAGCACTTTAAAGACTCTCATTTTAGTGGGGTTAATTATTGCTCCACTTAAAGGCTGAGGCTACTTCGATGATATTTAAAAGGTTCTAGGAAGCTCTGG